GAAATCCTGTCGAAATAACCTTTGACCAATTTTTATAAAGAATATCATGAGATTCAAATAGGCGATTTTAAATTTACAATTCGATTTTACGTAACAGTTTGCAAAATTTAATTCCCAAAACATCCAACTAATAATAAATTTAATAATCTGGACATGTTTTAAATTTCTAAGTGGACATACTTACATCATGTTCGTCGACTAGATAATTTTATTTCTACGGAAAAAGGCTAATCAATATGCATCTGCATATTGAACGTCTTTTATATTTAGCGTGCGTCCAAATCCTAATTTTATACTGAATTACCTAGTGACTTCTTAAAGATATACTTTGATCTGAAAATTAAAATCTGCTGTGTTGTCACACATTTTAGGAACGTGCTCACACACATGTACCAGTCATATAATGGAATAATACTTCGAAAATGTATTATTTATGTATCCAACATTGCTGATCATGCCCTATTTTGTTGTACTCTAATGCTGGTAAACTCATGACGTTATTTCGAAATTTTCCAAAGCAAATACTGTTTAGTTTTTATAAAATAACGTACGTGTAGTTTATGCATCCGCCTTGACTTCTTATCTTAGACACCTATATAAAATCTTGCAAACATTACATGTACATCGTGTTAGTCCAAATTTGTATGTTTGTCATTCCCAAAATCTTGATAACGTCATCTCAAAATTTTTCTGAATAAATTATATCCAAAATGTGCAAAATATTGTGAGTTTGCACTTGAGGTTTGTCAGTGGATTTACATTTTTCACAATTGTTTGTACAGGGTGACTGAAAAAAGATATTGAAGCAACTTATGTTATTGATGAACCCAATTTCCCAAAATTTTGGAAATACAGGACTGACATTCGACTCAAAATTTATTGGAGCTTTAGAGATTATCACAAAAAATAAAATTCTCAAAAACAAATTTTATGCTTTATTTGAGAAACTATCAAAATATATCTGAGTCACGTGCTCTTCTTGTAAACACAACCAAATGAAATATTCAGTAGTTTGTATTAAAATGATAATATCAAATTCACATATAAATAACAAAACAAAACAAAGCCGGCTTTTTTAGACACAGGGTGTCATAAATAATATCGAGTTAATATTAGATGTGTTTAGATAACACAGCCGTACAGAACCTCCCTAGTCCTTAAAGTGTAGTACGAAAATTCCCGCTTCTTTAAAAAATAAACAAAAATTGATTTTGCCATTTGCTATTTGTGATAACTTCTATAAAGTAAAAACCAGTGGACAATGTAAAATATATGTAAAGCAGATAACCAAGGATTAGATATTCTCAATTTCTCAGTACATGCTTAATTCCGACTGCTTGCGTTTATACTTCGAAAGAATGCCACTATTAGCCCGTTCAGATTACAAGCATCAACGGTTAAAAGAAAATGATTTGATTTGGTCTCCTCAACACAGAGAGGACTATTTAATTGAATAAGGACATATTAAAAGAACATTTATTGGGAAAATTATAAGATAACGGACAAAATTTTGATTAACGATTTACCACGCCTCCAATAACTTTAAAATATTTGTCAGAGTTCACAGCATTCGATTTTGCAATTTCAAAGTTAAATTGTAAAATGTTATATAATTTTGATTTTTTGAAAAATCTGAATGTCTGGGGGAAAAAACTCAGTACAGATTCATAAACCACATATGAAGGAGTATCTTATTTTATAAAACTTAAATAATATTTACTAGTGTAAATTTTGGAGATGATGCCATCCTATTGTTGGTAACAATGATTATCCAAATAGTTTTGGTTAACCTAATAAAAATCCGGACAGACGGCAGAGAGGCAGACAGATAAACGCAAAGGTGAGACCAATTCTTTCGTACTTTAGGGGTCATGAAACGCCAAGAAAATATAAAAGTAGGCAGTCGTCCAATGGACTCGATTACAATAGCTCATTAGTTTACGCTCAGGTAAAAACAAGTATGACTAACGTTTTCTCGTGCCAAAATCAAGCAGAAATTGATCCAATTTTATTTAGACAAAATTTTACTAGTCCCCGAACTTTTTCGAAAAGTGGCAAAATTTGATTTTACGAGTTTAATTTTTTTTACCATAACCCCTATTAATTAAAACAAAGGTATGTATGTCGGTTAAAGAAGCATGCTACGCGTGTGTTGGACGTGAGTTTTTCCATTGCAAAATTTTGTGATGACGTCATGAATACTTAGTAAAGAATGTATAGCATTTTGGAACGGAAGAGTGTATGCATTATCAACAGTAACAACACTGCATTCCTAAAATTTTGGGGGAAAAGGGTGAACTTGTCTTGATTTGATCAATAAAATAAATTCTATACAGTATTGCTTTTTCAGCAAGGATCACTCATCGACGAACCAGTGATAACGGATTTTGTATTGATACGAGTACAAATGCATTATTCTAAAAACCCATAAACTCAGAACAGCAAGAAAGAGAGACGACGGGAGGTCACAATTTACGATTGTTTCTTAATACAAAAAACAGAACGTTTTATGCATATGTTTCAAGTGAGTTTTTTCATAACAACATTTTGTGATAACATCATCAATATTTTAGCGAGGACACATATATGAATTTGATAGGTGCAGTGTAATACTAATAATAACAGTACTTCATACTCAAATTTTCGAGGAAATAGGGTCAACCGTACTTGATTTAATCAATAAAAAAAGAATTGGGAATGCCGGGAGTCGAATTCGAACTCGGGCCTTTTATTTGCGAAGCTGACGCTCTTTCAACAACTCTACGGAAGAATTAAACAATAAAAATGATAATAACAATAAACAAAATCAAGGTGGATTCATAAACCACAAATACAGGTGTATATAATCACTTTCCTTCCACTTGAAAATATTAAAGACGTGGGGTCGTTTATCCTGAATGAAGTTCCCAATACAAAAACTGATGTACGCAGAGAATTTACAATTTCTAGTGTAAATGTTGAAGATGTAAATCTTGTTGACTTATTTCGAAGATATGCTACGAAAGATCTCCGAATATTTGAAGGTGCCAAATCTTTTCAGATACACAGACCACTGTTTTAGGAGAACGTCTACTGCAATACTAGCAGAGACAGAGGCGGACATCACAACTTTAAAATGAGAGGGTGGATGAGAGGCCACCAATGTAGCAGAAAAAAGAGAAAGTATAGTTTGAAATCATGAAATCAACGTCAACTTCATCTTCTAAATCCAACCCTGCTGTTTCATTTAATAATTGCCAATTGACAAAAATTCGACTGCCAATTGACAAAAATTCGACTTTTCCTAACTCAAATGATTATCACAATACCTAACTTTTACAAGAAGTGAACATGGTACAGTGGTGGAAATGCCTAAGGTAAAACTTTTTTTCTTTCTATATTCATTTTTTGGCAAATTTTGAAATTTGTCATCAGAATTATTTGCCAAACAGAATCTTTGGTTTATTTAACGTCTTACTACTCTAGTTAATTATGAACAATGAAACGATTTGGTGATCAAACAAAACAAGTTATATTAAATGTGTTGGAGTATCTCGAAAGAAACCATGATGTTCTTTAAAAGTGTAAAAGTTGGTTTTAAATTTTACAAAAATAATAATCGATTGTTTTTGATTGAGAAACCATCTATTAAGCTAGGAACAAAATTTTTGCGTGAATATCAGCACCACAAAAAACAAAATTATACAAAACCCTTTTTCTGGATGAAATAAGTAGTATATGTAAAAAAACACGGCAAGACGGTTCAACACAAACTCCAATCAGAAAAACGGGAGAAGGAATTTATGACAAAAACATAATTTGGATTTGGAGGTTATGATAACATGAACCAGGGCAGTTTTGAAAACTGGTTTAAGCAATTAATATCCAATCTACCGAAACCGTCTGTTATTACTTATTATAATGGATAATGCAACTTACCACAGTAGACTTATGGTGTTTATTTTAGTTTTGATAAGTATACTAGACTTATATTTCTGCTTTATTTGTAGGAAGAAGTTCCTCGAAAGAGTTGGACAAAGAAAACAATGGTGGGATGGTTAAACACAAAAAAGATAGATTATCCTGAAAAAGCTATGAAAGATCAGATTTGGAATATTGTACGCAAAAGACTGCCCGAAAAATTGTAGGAGTATATGATTTAGATCACTATACTCAAGAACATTGACATTGTGTTCTAAGACTTCCGCCTACCACTGTCATTTTAATGCAATTGAAATGGTATAGTCGGAATGTAAATGAAAGTACGATAAAAGTTTTCCAAAAACTAATGCTTCTCCTGTTGGTGTATTGAAAACTTGGAAAAATGTGCCAACTTAATAAATCAAATTCCTAATATACACTGGGAAAATTATATTAAGCACACCAAAAAATCATAGATACGGCATGGCAAACGGAAAAGATTCTGGACAATTGTGAAACAAATCAAGTCATTATCAATGTCAATTCCGTTTTAGATGATAGTGATAGTGAAGATGATGACAGTAGTGTTAAATTATTCAATCGATTTTGAACTCTGCAATTTGCATTGCTATGTTACCATAGCAAGTTATCCGTAACATACATGAAACCACATAGTTTTGGTCACTAAAAAACCGTCACAGTCTAAGTGTTTTGAAAGGGGACATTTCCACAACTTTAGTATTTTTGTTTATGCGTAAAACCATGTGCAAAAACTACCTATGCATATTTTAGGAAACTACCGACCAAGACTCTCAAACTTAGTTGACGCATTTGACACTTAATTTGTTAATTATACACAACACTTATTGACAGGAAGTTGCAAAAAGATCAATGCACAATTCATTCCAAGAAACAGATATTAAACATTTCTTTAGTACTTTATTTTCATTTACCGCCAATGCTAAACCCGCAGTGAATTATCCAACTTTATAAATAATGTATGTTTGCAAACCTAATTACCTACCCACGTTAATTTTACTCTACCGTGCACATAGAGGTTACCATTTTCCACAATTTCAGAAAAATAAAAATGTACTTACAGGTTCTCCGACCCTTCCCGAAGTAGAATTAAGGGTTACGTTGAGCAGGTCGTGCAACGGAGGCCTCTCTGGCACCCACTGGAAGTGCGCGGCGTACGCCATCACTCCCAAATGCTCGACGTGTACGTCTGCCATGTCCTTGGCTGATAATATGGGCTGTACACCTGAGTCATAACAATTAATTTATTTTTTTCATGCACGCTTCACTGATAGTCGAAGTGTGAAACGCATTCAACACAAACTGCAAGGCTGTAGGTAATTCATGTTTGCAACAGTTCATGTCATGCTCGTAGTAGCGAAAGGAACATGAACTTTGATAAAGGTAAAAGTGTTTTGTTCTCACCTAGTCTTTTTCCAGCGTCTAAGGCTTGGTAAAGGTTGGACTCCCAATACTGGGACTCGCTTCGTAGTTTTTCTGGAGCTGGGGCGGATCCACCGAGGGAACGGATTATTTCGCTGATTACTTTTCCGTCGTTCCAGTCGCTCTGGAAAAAGATGAAGAAAACTTACAAAATGGTGACAGGTTATACGGATTTGATTGAGGCGATTTACTTAAAACTATTCAAGCAGATACTGGTTTAAAGGCAAGCCTCTCTTATCTGGTAAAAAATATAAACTTTCCGTTTATATTAATTATAATTTAACAGTCAGGCATTTCATATTAATTGTTTCTTAAATCAAAAGCTCTATTTGGTTTAAATTATTCTCCAGTATTTTACAAACTGTATCCTTGAAAACTTTCATAGGACACCTGAAATTTATCTATTATTCTGATTCTATTTTTTGTTCATACTATTTCTTGCCTTTGAGTTTGGAATCATCAACAAAACTTGTTGAGCACTAAACTAGAATTCAGTCATAACTGGAATATTAATATAAATTTAAGTGACAACCGTTACCAAACAGATTTGCCGCTACAAAAGGAAGAAACATCAGAGAAACTACATTCAAATAAGAAAAGGCATCCCAAACATGTTATTGGCGAAAGCGAGCGAAATACACCACCAGTAGTTTGAAAGTGTGGAAAACTATACAAATAATAATAATTATTGGAATAGACAACAGTCCTGAAAACGAGAATCCGTTACAAAGATATATTAACATTATACAGGGTCATCAGAAAATATTGTAGTCAAGGAAGGCCATGACTTTGTGGCTGCACTGTTCCGGCGCCAACGCTTCATCAGATTCTGTCGGATGTCAATAATTTCGTTTTACTGCTTACTGGTGCGTTTTCCCACACTTTGTGAGCTAATTGACTTCATTTGCTGTCTTCCCTTTTGTTTGAACTTTAAGTGTCTCAAAAAACAGTTTTATCAAAACTTCAGATCATTGTTGAATAATTTCAGGTAATGAACACAGAGGAATGACTATGGTCAGTGTTAGAAATGCGTTTTTTTAGGCTAGGATGGGTTATTCTTTGGAGCAAAACACGTTCATCATCATGTCCTATAACCGTAATGGGGTGTTAAATGAGGACGGGGACTGGATGTACTCTGTGGATTCGTGTAAAGACGAGTATCTGGTGAAATATCCCGTTGTCATCGAGGAAAAATCTTTGAAAAAATACATACGGCGAATTGTGGCCAGATATAACCACACTGGTAGCGCCTCTAAGGGAAAACCGACGGGGAAACCTCAAATTTGTGAAGACGTTGTTGAGGATTTAAGGACGAGAATGGAACAAAGTCCGAAGAAATCTTTGTCAGAACTCTCTTTACATATGCATTGATATAAGATTTTGTTGGTTCAGGAGATTTTCCTCGCCGCGTCCAGTATTGTCGTCGGTTTCAAGCTAATATAAACGATAACAGGATTCTCGATTTGTCGTTCTTTTCTGATGAAGCCTGGTTTCATCTGTCAGGCTACGTCAACTCACAGAACTTCAGAATTTCGACTACACCATTATACGCACTGAAGGTTGGTGTGTGGCTAGCTGTTATCAGACGAGGATTCATAGGCCCGATATATTCCAAATTTTAGATGTGTTTGTGAATCAGTTATTGCCCGAAGAATTAGAGTCCGGTTATTTTCAGCAACATGGTGCTACAGCTCATACGACAAGAGAAAATTTAAGATATTTGGAAGAATTTTATGGCCACCGCATAATAAGTTTAAGAGCCAATCCAGAGTGCCCCCTCCCGATCTCTTGACTTGACCCCACTTGATTTTTCAATATTTGGATGGATGAAGAACAGCGTTTATAAGAATAGAATACACGCATTGGAAAAATTAATGGATAAAATTACACGTTTTTGTAATGAAAATCTTAATGAAGAAGTGTTGCAAGATATTTTTGAAAATAAAAAAAGAATAATTTCAACATCTTTTATAAAATACACACATGTGTACTGCAATAAAGTTTTTTATCTTAAGTAACTTTCTTTTTTCTTTTTGTGATAGTTGCATTATCTTCATTTAAAACTTACTTCAACTTACTGTTTAGTAATAGTTGTAACTTTGCTATTAGGAAGGTTAAATATCTTTATAAACATTCTGTGATTTCAAGAAGTCTCGTAATCATCTACAGAACTCTTAACATTATGCTCCTGAAATTTTATTGTTTTTTCATCATTTTTATTATAGAAATTTTGAAAAATCTTGATGTTAAGATGGCCATGTGGGCGTGTTTTGAGTAGAATTTCTTTGACATTCTTGTTACACAGATCTGGCATGTTTCAGTTATCTAGAAACTGCAAAGCTGAAGGTAATACTTGGACATGGCAGTTTTACCTATTGTAGGGACGAAGATCAAGGCTTTCAGTTGTGTTTATTCAAGAGTAAAGCACCGGTTCCAAACCATGTCTGCACAATGTTTTGACGATTCCTTACAATTTACAAACTGCACTTTCGGGGAATCACAACTTTACCAAAATTATTTAATGCAAAAACTACTCATTGCAATTTTAAAACAGTGGTACTGTTTTTTAATTGTAGTGAGACTTACTCTGCCGTTGTCCATTACGTGATTCTTCACAATTTTTACCTTGAGAGTACCTACAGAAATGTAAATTTTTAATTAATTACCGTGTTCATTGGTTTCGACAAATTTAACCTCACTTTTTCGATTTCATTATTTGAAAAATTATTGATTCTTTGCAAAATAGACCAAATGGTTTATTCTGTTTAACTCTAATCGACTTTCCAAGGTGTAATTCAAGACAAAGCCCTTAAACGCTTTTCTGATAATTTACAATTTTTTAAGGTCAAATGTATTGCAGTAGCGTTCACAGATACTCGATAACTCTGCAACCTGTAATGCTTTGGCGTATTTAGTTTTTTTAAACGGAATACCTACATATTTTTATTAGCCTCTTCTTTGGATTTCTATGCGTTGTTTATTTTTGATGTCCATGTCATGTTACGGCAGGTTTTTTGAATTTTTTAGCAATGTAAGGCTTCACAAAAAAATCGGTATTTTTAAGATCTGTATTGCAATATTTTATGGAGAAATGAACAGAGATATGAACTTTGTCAATTAAATAAATTGTGTTTATAAAAAATAATCTTTAGAATTTTTCAAATATCGGTACTTAACAAAAAAGGAAAAAACAAACAACAGAATAATACTTATTTAGTAATAAAGTGCAAGCTGTTTATTTGAAAAAAACTGAAATACTATTGATATTTGAAAATTGTGATAATTTATTCAACTTTCCACAAAATATTGTAACACGGATTGTAAAAATTACCGAATTGTGATTTCTTTGTGCTATAAAATTTCAAGAAAATTGGAAAAACTTCGCAACATCACATCGATATTTCGAAAATAAACTATGGTACCTATGGTTACAAGATGAAGATGTCAATCAGAATGTACAAAAATATGTAGCATTGTTACGATGATCGGTAATTAAATTCGGCGTGGGTACAACTCAACAATTTATTTCACGGTAATACAAAACTAAACGACGAACTATACAGCGATTATGTACAGAATAATTCCCACTCGATTGGAATGGATTTGACTAGTCCCAATTTACTGGTCTCCACTCGTTCATTGACTGAATCGTTCCCGAAGGTGGCGTCTATTTAAACCCAGACTTCCCTTTTAGATATTCCGCGATCGACGTCTTTCTAGATTACCCTTCGCAACTTCCGCTTCCAGGCTTTTCTTTAGCGAACACCGCCCGGCCGCGGTCACCGATGATGAGTTACCCATGATCGCCGTACGTACTAGAAAACCCACTAGGAAACCCATAAGCGTCGTATCTGGACAACGTATGGGTTTATTTTGTAACAATATATGCCATTTCAAAAAAAAATATGTTTTGTGTTACGGGTTAAAAACAGAGCACTCTGCATAGTTTAAAATAATTTTGGTGTATAGTCCTTACGGCACTGTACAACTTCAATTTCAGTCTTTTCTTCTATTTCTGATAGTTAATAAGATATGGAGGAGCCCGCGTTTAGTGACTCACCTTGTATATAATCTAAAGGACTGTAACCCAAGTAAAGTTAGAACAACCAAAGAATGAATTGAAACTGAGAATGAAAGATATAAGTGGGAAATCCTTATTAAAATATGAAATAAGCTCACAAAAGCAAAATAGTTAGTGGAATAACATATGTATGTATATAATGTTTAGTAAACATGGTCCAAAACACTATGTAACAATTATTGTTCTCTCAATATTTTCCTCTATAAAACTAAGTTTGTAATACGGTGATCGCTGCGTTTGGTATTTAATCTGTACTATAAACTACGCTGAATATGCGTGAATTTGAAGGAAACAGTAACCTTTTTTGTACCGGAAAGTTAGCAACTTAATGTTTAATCGCTCCGACGGGAGGATCAGGCGTAGTATTTGCACGGGCGGTTGTCACCTTACCCGCAAGAATCCGCCCGCTGCTAATAACTGTTTTGTAAATTTAGTCGAATTAATTAGCAAAAGAATGTTTCGGTGATTTTTTCATACGCTAACAATGATTTAATGGGAATGAGTAAATAACATCGTTGCTAAACTTGAGTCTTACGTAAGATCAAAAAGTAAATCACATTTCTACAAAATTAAAAAACGTCATGAGTGGTAGAGGGATCTAACATATGTAGATAATGGGTAGCGCCTTTGTTATTTGGAATTTGTTACCGTCCAAGCGACACAGAATTAATAATTTAATGATAAAATAGTTCTTAGATGAGAAGAGGCAGCGAGATAGAAGTGTTAGCACATATTCATTTAAACTGCGGAAGTTGAAAATTTTACGTCTGTTAATTTATACATTTTTTGTTGTTGTTTGTTTCAAATTACTTCTTCTTGTCCGAACATTCTTTGTCTGATTAGGTGGTAACGCTACGTACTCGTTAATAGTAGTAAATCTACAACAATATTCCAAGGGTTTATCATGGTGGGGGGGGGGGGGGGAGATTGAGAACCGACTGTTCGGACGAGAAGACTAGCACAATCAAGGCCGAATATCATCAAATCGTTTGATCTGTATAATTATGTCGCATCTTCTCCTCCGAACACTCTTTCTTTATCTAACTGGGTAGACGTATATGCGATAGTTCTCTGAATAATTTACACTGAGCTTTACAAGCAGCTGCAGAAGCCGTTTACATCAGTTCCTACTCTAAAGGTAGAGTTTACCTGTTTCATAAGCCTTGGAATCTGTAAAACGAATACACGATATACGAATTAAATATGTGTTCCATAGTCTGGTGGTACATTGTGGGTGCAGTAGGAAAAGGAAGGCCCTCAGATAAATCTTCTGTTCGATCAAATTTTTCCATTTGGTGCCTTAAAAGAAGGACGTATAATTGACAATTAACAAGTTGCCGAAACCTCTGGTGCCAAATGAGATGACATCGTTGTTCAGAGGATGTGATCACTTTAAAAATTGTGGTTTAAAACAAGTATTCAGCGCTACTACCTAGTCAAATAAACAAAGAATATTCGGACGAGAAGACGTGCACAATTATAAGATGACGCCATTAGTTTTCTAGTAGCAATTCAATATTCAATGTTGGATGTGCAACGAAACACTAATTGTAAACACAAATGTGTTTCCAGAATTTTAAAAAAAGTTAGATAAGCCTTGTTAGAAGCAACAAACCACTGTCATGAATTCTAAAAAAAAACATCTTAGCATTTTGTTATAAATAATAATCAGCCTTATATTCATTCATATTCATCAGTTTTTCAAATGACGTCATCAGTTTTTTGTCAGTATTCCATAATACCTGAATCAATGGCAGTGTTAGTGTCCCATCAAAATTAAAAAAAAAAATGATTACGCCGTTTATCAGTTGACTTATAAAATTTTTGCAAATACTCTGTATATTTAGGAAAATCGTCATGTGACAAGTTTTAGTAAGACTGAATTTGATAAGACTTCCTGCAAGGGAATCCCACAAATTTTAGGGGATATTTATTTAACTGAGTTTGTTTAGTATATTTATTGTGATATGTCCTATATAACAGTTATAACACAAGATTTAAAAAAAAAATTACCTAGTCTTCAGTAAATTGTTTGATCTAAAATTATTTGTTTTAAAATGAGATTTTAAAACAACATATTTTAAACTTTAAGCACTTTCCAGTATTTTAAAATGACGTCATGAATTTTTTGGAGGAGATGAACAGAACTGCTGATGTTCATGTTCCACATTAATTTTAAGAGGCACCTAACATTTCAAGTCATATGTTCTAAGATTTTATGTTCAGTGAAATCACCAACAGACAAAATAAGTGATAGACAAGCAGAAACGAGAAACAGGGTTTTTGTACTCTACAGGTTGTTAGATGCAGATAAAGATATAGTAATTTTTAAGTTCATAATGAAGTCTGGCATGCCTGGACCAATTAAGATAAAAGATATTGTGTCAAGAAAACAACGCTAATTAAATGTAAACAAAATTACGACATCTACGTGATTTAATAGTATAACAACCATTATTTATTAAACTTCAAGGTCTAATTCAGTTATACGTAGTTCCATAAGTGTGATAAAAAATTAAGAACGTAAATGCACAATAATAATAATAATAATAATAATTGACTTTTAACGCATTACTGTGAAACTTCTACATAATTAAAACGATGTACAACGGCGTAATTATTACTTTCATAAGCTAATGTTTTATTTAATATTAAAACAATTATTTGCACAAAAATATACATATTTTACTTAAACATCAATTTAATTTAAGCCTTTAATGTCGCTAACTGAATTACAATATTTAATAGTTTCTCCAACAAATTGTTTGTTTATGTTTAGGAAAAACGATATTTGTACAATAATCTTTGTTAAATTTTAATAAGACACTAACTAACATATTAAGGGTATTATAGAATATTAACTTTTTGGGACTTCCGATGTTCGCTTAAACGCTATATGTAACATTCCGTTACTTCTATGTTTACGTATATTTTATATTAATCATTTAAACTTCATCTGCAACTTGTCAAGAGTGAAGATATTAACTACACTCCAACTAAATTATGCCCCTCAGCGTTGCTTCCTCCTCACTCGGGTGGTTAGTACCAGACTAACCAACAATATAACTAGTTATTAAAGCATAAACACAATCATTATTTTTACACTTTCTACACACAGGCATCTTGGCTGGCCAACTTCATCTTTAAAAATATAAAATTAACAACCGCTACACATTAAACCATTAACGAAAGTTAAATATTCTGCACGTCTGGTGTCTTACGGTGAAATTGTTGACCGGTCTTTCTAGTCGTGAGTTGACCCATCTTAAAGTGGCGTGAAAACCAGGAGAGCCAGGCTTCATGAAGTACGATAAGTACGTCATGCCGGATAGTTCGTCTAACCACGGCGACGCTAGATATTCCGGTTCAAGGACAGCAGGAATTCCCAGATCGCGTTGGGCTATATCCATGGCACGTCGACAATTTTCAATATTGTTACTCTTATCTAGAACAACCACATTTGAGTTAAAATGTAAAAGAGGTACTATATTTTTTACCTAATTTTCTCCAGTGAGGGAAAAGGCCAGGCTGGCAGTAGTCTACTAGGGCTGATAATAGCACCCCAGAGTTCCAGTCTGTGGTGAGATTGCCTACTTTGCACTCCGGTAGAACGGCCTGGAGCCACGCCAGCATCAGTTTTCGTGGAGGGAACTTGGATCGACCTATTTGGTAGCGGACGATCAAGGACCAGATTAGACCCAAAATTAGCTTCAGGTTGCCGTTGACAATGTCGAGGTTGCCTTAAAAAGAATAGTTTTGTTAAGAGAGTGTACGTACTGAGGAAGGCAAATTTTGTAGTATGTAGCAAGATTGATCGTATTGATAAGATTGGTATGGGAAACCTGGGTAATAAGAATCATATGGACAAAAATTACCGTCAGTTTAAAATGTATATTAATGCGAATGAAGACACCACTGTGTATTCAAAACCTGTTTTATTTAATTTGTATAAAACATGAAAACAAGGTAAAATAAAAAATACAGAAAATTTTGTACTGTTGGTGTTCAAATGGTCACCAAATTTCAAAATATTTATCATAGGACACATGATTTTTACGTGAACATTATTTTAAATGAATATATGATCTGTCAGTATCATTTTACCGATCAATAAATATTATACAACAAGTGAATTAAGCATTCGTTTAGTCACGAGAAGATGTGAAACCATGAGCATGCAGGGCGAGTGAGATCATTTCTTTGAGTGAATAAATATGTTTAACTCACGCGGCGTATATATGTTTTATTATTATTGTATTTTGACGAATTTTATGAATAAAATTTCAAGTAATAAAATAAAAATTCGGATCATAATAATCCCAATCGTGAAACCGTGTAGAAGATAAAGACGAAAACGAAGTTTTTGTACAATTCAGTAGTCCTGAATAAACCTTTGAAAGCTATGAATGAAGTGGTGCCAGCAAAATCCAAGCATTCATATCAAAAAGAGTACATATATGAATTTTTGAGAATGGAGGAAGCGAAAACACACAAAAGGAGTAGACGAAAGTATAATTTTGGCTTATATTTCGGAACGGTCTAAAAATTCTAAATCTTATTATTCGTCGGCTATTTGATGCAAATTTTAGTAATCTGAATAATTGTAACTTTTATATTTCACACTACAAACCAAAAAAACTAATTCAATGTTAAAATTTTTGGTAGAAGAAATAAAAATCAGTTCTTCATTGAAAATTTTATTTCAGTAAACGTTTTGATTTCACTAGTGAATCATGGAGTTAATAACGTCAAAATGGAATAAAATATTTTAAATTCAATTGGGTGGATATTTATTTTTATTGCAAGATCGAAGAATAAAAGTGTATAACGTTTTCAATTTAACCTTCAAGATTTTATTCTCTAAAGAAACAGTTATATTACATAAACATTTGATTTATTTTGGGTATAATATGCTTTCTCGACGTTCCATGGCTCCTAAAATATGAAAAAATAGGTCTCCCGTTGTTGTTCAATTTTAGAAATATAGTGTAGATGGTAAAAATGGTTCCCACCTACAATTTCACAACACTCTTCACCATTTTGAGTAGTAAAAATTATACAAAATAATATACTACCGTACTGGTGGCTTATGAATCCGCCTTGATTTTGTCACAATGAACCACTTTACAAAAATTTTTTTGTAATATTTTCCACGTGTTTCTAGTAGCGGTTATCTCGCTAATGCATCAAATATCTCGTGACTGAATGTTTTGAACAAATGGATTTATTTAATAATTGTATTTCAGAGAAGAGGGAAGTTGTGTGCAATAACACAATACTATTTTTTTTACAGAATTGTGATTTCTTAAAAGTATTTCAGAATGTTATATACAGGATGAGTCAAGAAGTGTGTTCTCGATATCTTATTCATTATTAGATAGGAAAAGTTTTTGGAACTGCGTAACCTAAAATTATTTTCAACTTAATTCGGTTTTGGCAGCAGAATATATTTTTAATTGAACACTACTCATTTTTATTATCCGGGAGTCCATCCAGTAAACGGCTACTTTCATGTTTTCTCGATGTTTCATAACTCCTAGAATATGTCGTCTGCCATCTGTGGTCTGCCTATGGTCTGTTGGTGATTTTATTAGACAGATAATCTCCGAAACTACTGGACTCATTCTTATGAAATTTTAGAGGTGTGACTTTATAAACCAGGATTTAGAATATACAATTTCGACTAATAACACTAATAAATTTGTATCACCTGTAAATGTACCAGCTGAACATGCTGGGTATTCAGTATAATAAAACATGTCAATTTTTGAATAAAAAATAGCACATAAGATAATCGAACCCACCAGTTTCGCGTTGTTATTGAAATCGAACTCTTTTGCGAAAATCTGGATGCCTAGGAGAAAGGGGAATAATTCAAGGCGGATTCATAATCGACAAGTACAGAGGTACATTAATTTAAGAAATTTTAGTAACAACTACATAGTTCTGAGGTGACGTCATCAAAGTTTCAGTGGGGATAACTAGATAAATTTAGGTTAGCGTTTTACCATCTACCCAAAATTCTTAATATACCTATAAAATTTGACAACAATCGGTCATGTGGTTTGGAAGAATATTTGTCTACGAAAAATCGACGCAGACAAAGGAGACAGACAGACAGACGAAAATGGAAAACTATGTTTTCTTACTCTATTACTTATTCGCCTACGCTTGGGAACCAAAAATTAAAAAAAAAAGTAATACGTCAATCATGTCATAAGACAAGTAAGATTTAGTATCTTTTGTAAACTACGTAGAGAATAATCTTTTTATTTCTCTAGCGTAAGTTAAAGAAGGATTATAGAGTCTATCCGGGGAATGGCTACTTTCATGTGTTCTGGTTTCACAACTTCTAGAGTATAAAAAATCTTCGTTTTCGGTTGTTTGTCGTCGGTGTTGATTTTCATAAGACAGATAACATGCGAAACTACTTAACCGGTTGTTATCAATTTTTAGATATTTGTATGAAATAGTGTACAAACGATAAAATGGGTCCAAAAATTTGTCCATCATCTCTGTCAAGAATTTGATGACGTTAACTCAAAATTGTATTTGTAAATAACATATAAATTTTATAAAATAATCCTGTCTTTCTGGTTTATGACTCCGCTTGAAGTTTCTACACAATAAACAAGAATTTCGTCGGTTCGGTATCCCCTCATGGACCTATGTTTTTTTTTTCTTACACTGCGTTTCGTATTACCTATATTGTTTTTTTAACAACTAGATTTGTTTGATTGTACTTCGGGGACATTTTTCATAAGATATTTTTTAACCATTATACCATATTACGTCGTAGAGTTTATTTCAGTTTTTCATAATTTTCTTGTTATGTTCGAATAAATAGGGTATTTCAAGTACATACAACGATTCGTCAAATTTATTTTAAAACTGTATACCTACAGATATATGTTGTTTTATGAAACGTGTTACGAATTTTGTTACAGAATCCAGAAAACAATAATTTTTTTTAACAAACTTTTTCCACATAATTAGCACTTTATAATTTTTTTACTCGATAGAGTAGTTCGTTACGAAACTATTTTGGTAAAATTTTTGAAGTAAAAATCTTGTGTTTCTAAACATTTATCAACAATTGTTCTATCAAGGTTTTCAAATCGTACCACAAACCTTAGTGATATAAAATAATTTGAATTTGTATCATATGACCCACAAAATTTTTATTTAAAGTAGGCTGTGATCAGCACACGTCGAGTATGACAGATAAAAAGTTAATGTCTATTTAGCCAAAAAATAGAGTGACTTTACGTTAATCAATCATAGTCTACCTTCAATCAAAATTTTGTGGATCATATGAAATTTTCACTTGTAATCCCGATCATTCGCCTCTAGAAGCAGTGTAATTTTAAGTAATATTAAAAAACGAATATCCGATTCAACTTAACTTTTGCTTGTTTTTGATGAATACCTGCATTGAAACAAATTATAGGAATGTACAAATTACCCCATTAAAATTTTTCGTCATGAGTAATTGCATTCTAAAAAAATAAAAAGTATATAAATTGCAGCGATTAATTAACACACTGCCATTAAACTCGTTTAACCTTCATTAAATTCTTTTGAAATATTCAAACATCCGTTCAAGAGATCTTGCACATCTTATTTAACGAAATCGAATTTGAAATCATTATGCTACATCTAAAATAATTATGCTAAACATATTGTATGCCTCTAGAAAATTGTAAGTGTTTTAAGAGCAAAGAAAAATAAAATTAGTTAGTTGAAATTAAATGTGCACATTAACATTAGGACTAGTATGCAAAACAAATAATACATATTTTGACATTAAAATTATTGTATCAACTGAATGATGTTATTTTTAAAGCTGTTTAACTTGTTGAGTGAAATGTCAAAATAATCTCATTGTGTACCAAATAATTTACATTTTGAAATATTTGTAATAAACGTAAACATCGTAAAGAATTTCCTTTAAAGACTAATTTAATACTTCAAATAATAAAATAATACTAAAATTTTTTGTTTTATTAGCTGGTATAAAATTTTTTCGAAAACGTTTACGGTCGAAATAAAAAAATCATATTCAATTATCCATTATGTCACTGAAACATGAAATCATATCTATTAAAATGCCGTAAAGTGTTGTATATATTTTTATTGTTGTAATTATCTGACACATAAATCCGTAATTTATAAGCCTTTTAAAAGAATCTGACGACCATTTAGTTGTTCGTAACCTTAACAAATCCACTAATTGTTTGAACTCTAAAATAATGCACACGTTGGTTCTTTGTGTAATAGAAAATACAAATATCCCACATTTGTGTCATAAATTTTACTATGAAGGTTTGATTGTCTGCAAAATGTGACGCAGTAAATTTTGTTAACAAATAATGTGAGTTTTAACAATGGAAAACTTATTGTAAATTTTATGGCATAATAACTGCATCGTGTCAGCTGCTAAACACCAGTAATCTACCAATATTTTACCAGTAAAAATGGATTAAATGCGATTTTATTTTCACATACTGTGACATTTAAGTTATGATTTTATTAATATTTTCTTCTTCAATTTTGCAGTGAATAAATAGCATTTGGGGTGGTCGATGTAATTATGTTAATAACCCAGCGCATCCACCAAATTTTAACACTTTTATGCCTATAAATTTCAACTCATACTATCTCATTGAAAAATTTCAAAAATTTACATAAAAACATTTACATTTAAGCATTCAATAACAATTGCGTTTGATAAACGTTT